TATCCTTGATGCCCTCTTTGGGAAGTTTGAGACAAAAACAATCCGGGAACTCGAGAGGCCTTCGGTTGCTTGAACGAAGAAGCATATGGTTGCCGAGGAGAAAGTCCACCTGCGTTCTCAGGGCGCAGGCAATCTGTTTCGGCTCGTTCCATACTGCGGACGTGTGGACCAGGATCTGAGACGGCGTATACGAGTCCTTGATCGTATTTTCGCCGCGGTCCGCGTATTCTGAACGCTTGCGAGCCCAAGTTGTCCGAAGGATCGACTTTTGCATGGCTTTTAACGCCACCCCTTGCGGTCGGGGCGCGGGATTCATCCCGCGGGTCCTCTGGATATCGTAGAGCTTCTGGATGGCGGAGACGTAGCTCCGAACCGTGTTATATTGGAGCTTGAGCGACGATTCAAAAGACCCTTCCTCGTCCCCGGAATCTGCGGCCTCGGTGTCGACAGCGTCCGCGTCCGCGTCCGCGTCCGCGTGCGTGTCCGCGTCCGCAGGTGAAGTCTGAACCATTATGCAGTCTGCGGAGAACCCCGGGACCGGGACCTCGTCCTCGTCCTGGCCGTGGTCCTGCAACTTCTTCTTCCGTTTAGCGACCCCACCGGCTGCTCCGGCTTCGCGACGTTTCCTACGCTCCTGGGCCACGCGGGAGCCCGTCCGGGGCGCACGGGAGACCACCTCGTCGGCCATGAAGAGCAGCAGCTTACCCTCGTCAACTAGGTCATCTGGCAAGGGTCGTCCGGGCACGTAGAGCTCCGGCCAGCCTTCAGGAATGGACGCGAAGCCCTTCCTTTGACACCACAGCTAACCCCCTCGTCAGCGGGAGGCTCCAAACAGACTCGTCATCCATTCCTCTCCCCCGGATGCTTTGTTGTGCCTGCCTGCCTTACCTTCCACTCTTTCTGTTTGGGAGTGTACGCTCGTCTCGTGTTTTCCGGCGTCTGCTGATGGGACTCGAGCAGACAGCGCTCGACGACCTCGCGCAGGCGGGCCGTATAAGAAAGATCCGAGTTCATGGGTAGAGGAGTTCAACTGCACTGAAGACAAACCGCGATGAAGCAGCTTTTTATCGGGTTGCTACAGTGGGATTGCTGGATTGCTGGACGCAGGACGCCGACGGGAAAAGAGAAGGGGGGGGTTGGGTTTGGGTGGTGGTTTAGGGAAGGGCAAACGCCAGGGTAAAAAGTTGAAGGACAAGCGCATTTCACCCCTTCAAAAAATGGCACGAGTCCCGTACTTTGTGGCGTCACCTAAGCCAATCGTCGCAGGGCCGAGCCATCGAGGGACCTTCGATTTGTCGGGGTCCAATGTAGGGGTCCTGTGCGTCAGCCGGATGACGGATGACGGTCAGCCAACCAGAAAAAACCTGCGATACCAAAGGGCTGGCTGGCATTCACGATGTGGCCAACGAGAAGCTCTTGTATCTCCCGGACTTGTGGGACCTGCGCGTATCGCGGCCTCTTCGAAGGACAGAATAGCGGTTCCGACTCTGAGCTGTCGACCTGCTTGCTCGGGGCGACCATCTTGTGCATTTTTTTCGAGATGGGCACTTGCTGAACTCGTGGCTTCGACAGAGTAGATAGTATCGATAGCGAACTTCTCGTCACAGCGCCGACAGACCCAGAGGCGGCCAGCTAGATGATTTTTAGCGAACGATCTTCTGGCAAAGCGGAAGTTGGAGACGTACGTCGCAGGCGGCCTTGGTTGATCTCGCGAAGGAAGACACCATGGTCCTTAATCCATGTCTCGGCGGCCGGGATCCCTTCATCCAGAGGCGCTCGTCCTCGATAAAACAACGTCCTCGCCATCTTGCGATCGGGAAGCCGTCGAAGCGGTCAGCATCGCTTGAGGAACATGACTCCGACAGCTGCGCGATGATGGAGGCCGGAGGACGCCCGCCAAATACAGTGAGGGCCATAGAGGTCTAGGCAATCGAACTGGATGGATGAAGGGTTTCCGACCGTAGAACCGAGGCTGGGGAATGCATAAGAGGATGGGCTGTCGTCGCGTCGGAGTCGCGTAACCCGTCCCCCTGTCTCGAGGCACTCGACACGACTGCCAAATAACGTGATCTTATTGGTTAAAGGTCGCGTGAGCAGTCACGTGTGTATAAGTCAATCAATCAATCAGGGAGTCAACTTTCCACCCTCTCGAACTTGCTTGCTTGAGCCCTCGAGAGGCCCGTAGTTGCTTGGTTGATTGGTTGAATTGATTGACACGATTGAATTGTGATGAGCGCTGGCGCAAACATCGCGCCGCTGAACCAGGGCCGCACGCCTACTACGCCGTGAAGAGCAGGAATGCCATGGGAGATGTGATCAACCCCGGCCGGACCATCTCCAGAAAGAAGGTGCTGGAGATGTTTCAGGTTACGAGAGACAATACGTGGTTTCTCGGGGGGCCGGACGAGAGGCTGCTGGGAGTGCTGGAGGAGCGGAGGCTGAGTGATGTGGCTGTGCTGAGTGACGACTGTTTCGTCCTCGAGGACGGTGAGCTGAACTGTTGAAGCGATTGAGCAGTGTTTTGACGGTGGTGGGCGGTGTTGTGGTGCGCGTTTCAGGTGTGTTGCGGGACTCGAACCGAGCCGAGGATCTTTCGGGCTACACCGCTACAGCAATGTTTTTCATTTTGTTGTGGCCTACAGGCACCAGGTCAGTCGAAACCTGCCACAGGCTGGACTCCCCGCAGGGATTTCCCCGCTCGCCCGTCCCGTTTCTCTTCTTCAACGCAGACTTGATATAACGCCGAATCGGCTACACGAGTCCGCACAAGAGTCAACAGGTCGCTTATACAGAGCGTAACAGGGAGTCAAAGAACTACAGGACAGCTTGACCGCCAGCCCCCAAGCTCACGTCGAACTATATACACAGGAAATCAAGCCACTGCCGCCGTGAACTGGACCAAGCATGCCTGATACATCACCACGAGCAGCCGACTTCGTGCCAGCGGTGGATGGAGCAGACGGTGCCCCAGCTCTCCCCGTACGGGGCGCAAGACCCGACGGTGCGCTCGTTCCACTCCTGAAAGCAGCGCTTCCTGTTGCCCTCCCAGAAGTGGGCGCGCACCCGGCTCCAGTCCATGCAGATCTCGCGGACACCCGGTACTGGGTTGCCCCGGCAACCTTCGTTGGCGCTGAACTGGTGCTCCTCCCCGTTGTTGAAGTGCCAGATGGCGTTGGACCGCTGCGTCCACGTGGTCCACTGGGCCCGTGCCTAGGGAGGTCAGCATCCAGGGCCATCCTGGGGGGTGTTGGGGGGGGGGGTGGTGGGCTTGAGAACAGCTCTGCATACCAGGATGGTGAGGACGTCTGCCGACACGACCGAGGCCGTGGCGAGCACGGTGGCCGTCAAGGTTGTGATTCGCATCTTGGTTCTGAACCTAAGGTAGACGCCCGTTAGCCCCGGTGTATCCTGTGGTGACTGTGCGCGTGTTGTGATGGACTTGCAAGCGTAAAGGAGTGTAAGACTCGAGCGAGTGGCACTGTGGCAGTCAGACGGATGCTGAAAAGGAGGCGTCTACTCTGGACCTTTGACGGGCGCCTCGGTCCATCCTTATATGGCCCTCCCTTGCATCCGCCTGCTATCCCGACTTCGTCTTGGATCAAATTTCCCGACGTCGAGGGCGACCTCTCTTGGAGTCTTGGATCCCTGAACGGAGCCCGAGGCCCCGAGTGCTGTTCACTTCTGACCGCATCCGGCGTGCCTTGCGTCGGGGTTGTTGTGTCGCTCTGGGGCGGCCTGGTGACAAGGTATGAATCCTTCCTCTAACCTCAATTTACCTCATCAGTGCTTTCAGGGTTGCATTGTGCTACATCGCTTCGACAGCTCAACGCAGAAGTCTATCACAATGCAATGCAAAGCTGACCAACGGCCCCCAACGGCCCGTCGGCCCCCATCAGCCAAGTAATGACCATGCTGGTGACGAGGTATGAATCCTTCCTTTAACTACAATTCAACTCACCAGTGATTTAGGGTTGTATTGTGCTGCATCGTTTCGATAGCCCAACGCAGAGGTTTATCACAATGCAATGCAAAGCTGACCCACGGCCCCCAAGTGACGAGGTATGAATCCTTCCTCTCATCGCCGCACATACTTGCCGTCAGCTGGTTTTAGACTAGTCTGCATATCGCGGGTACCATGGTATTGGCGCCTCGCATTCCCCGGTCCTTCTTCTCTCGTCACATTCATGCAAAGGACTCGGAGACCGCTCCGAAGGTGTCTCCTTCACATCGGCTAGCAACGGGGCCCGCGGGGCCCGGGTCTGCCGGATGGACTGTGATCCAATTTCCTCCCACCTTGCGATCGAGCGGCGATGCAGTTCTGGGTACGGCGCAGACTCCGAAGCTGTTAGGTTGGTTCAGCATCCTTGCGATACAGGCCGACTTGTGCAGGACGAGATTGAAGGATACGACCCTGTTCCTTTCTCCGTGACTCCCCTGTCCTCTTCCCTAGGTATCCTTCATGCCGTCCAGTGCACGTCCGGGAGTCCCCGACACAACAGGAGGGAAAAGATAAGTACTGGTACCGCCCCCCTCCTCCGAGTCCCGCCCGTATGCAGAGTCTATCCAACATCGACACGACAAGCCGGTCTCTCGCTCCCCCGTTTGTTCACACTCGCTATACCCCTTATACACACACTCACACACAATGCGCCTTTTCGGCCTCGCGCTCGTCGCGGCCCTAGCAGCCCGCGCCTCTGCCGACGCAATGGCGTCCTACACTGAGTGCACCCTCAGCCACTGCAGCAGCCACCAGGCCGTGTGGTACACGGACTACGACAGCCAGGACATTTCCGCCGACGAGGGCTGCCGGACGGGCGCCAGTGGCATGAGGGAGTTTTGCGTCGACTGGGGCAACGGCCGCGGCCACTTTTTCTACGGCAACGGGCCCAAGCGGTGCTTTCGGCTCGAGAAGCGGATCGGTGAGTTGTTCAACCTCTTCTGCTGCCATCTCGGCATGGTCCCGGCTGATTTTGGGAATAGACGTCGACTTTTGCATGGACGTGTTCCAAAGCTGCACCCTGGACGTGTGGCAGGAGACTCACTGTTCTTGGTAATCCCGGGGAGGATCGTTCTTGTTGACACGGTCATCGCCGGCCTTGGCCCGTTCATGTGTGATGTCTCCAACAACCGCGGCCATGGGAGGAGGGATATTGTCACCTAGCGTGTATATGGTAGTCTTCTCTTGTACATTATTGGAAGTTGTGTGCCCAATACTTAGGGCTCCCTGTCTATCGTTTTTGTCCGTTCCTACACACGACCTTCAACAGCAATGCCGGGCTCGAGACGGGATTCTCACTTCCATCTCTGATTGCGGTTGGCCCGAGTCAAGCAACACTTGCCGAACCGGCCATTCTCTCCCCCAGATCCAGTAAGTGAGCATCTTGGCTCGAGTCGCTATAGTCGTCGTTGAGATGAAAAGAGATCATCGTCATTCTTTGGGTCATAGAGCCAACCTGGTGGAAGCGACCCCTTGAAGATGCTCGGGATTGCGGCCTCCTTGCCGCTGCGAATGATGTTGATGTGTCGGAGCAAGTCGAGAAGTGTTTGAGGCAATGGCGGCGGGGCCGTGTGTGTCGATGGGCTCCCGGTATACGGGGTTCTGCGTGGTCATGATTTACGCAGACTGTTGTGGCCGGCGCGGTTCGAGACACTCAAGGCATTGGAGGCGCCAACAGCACTCCTAGAACACAGGGACAAGCTGTCGGAGGTATCGAACGCGTCGAAGGAGCCTCGAGTTGCCAGTGTTACATCGAAATCGTCATCACGCGGTCGCTTCTTCTGCGGCGTCTCCGGCGCGTCATGCATCCATAGCAGCCGCATCTATAGCCCCAATCGCGGCTGCAGCGACAGCATCACCGTCGTCGCCAATGTCGGGGTCCATGTCGATGTCGATGTTGGTGGTGCCGTCGCTGTAGCTGTCGCTGTCGCTGTCGCGCGTCTCGATTGTTCGGGTGTACACGAGCCAAGAACGAATTGCCCCTACGTCGTCAGTGAACTGAGTAAAACTGTGCCTCTCAAACGTCAGGTCAACCCCACTTATTTTACCGTCCCCCTCCCTTCTAACAGTGAGGCAGGTAGCAAGATTAGCCTTCGCTACTTTACGCGAACTAGACGTCTGGACCCCGCAACGGAATCGGCCCCACAATGGAATCCTGGCACCACACCACCATTCCAGACATGACTAACTTCAACTCAACACAACTCATCTACTTCTGGGCCAAAATCAACATGACCGTTATCCGGAAAGAGCTTATTCAATTGGCTATAGCCGAGGTTCAAGAAGGCCTTTGTTCACAGAAAGATGCAGCGGAAAAGTACAGCATCCCACAGTCTACCCTGAACCGACGGCTTCATGGCGCCCACCCTCGACAACAAGCCAAAATCCACGAACAACGGCTTAGTCCTGTGCAAGAGAGGCATGTAGTCGACTGGTGCCTCAATGAAGAAAAGTCTGGAAGGGCTCCTAGACGCAGCCAGGTGGTGGCTTTCGCGCAGGCCATCTTGGCTGAAGGAGGTGATCATCAGCCCCTGGGTGCTAGATGGATCGACCGCTTTCTACGCCGCCACGATGCTGTCAAGACTAAGAAATCAGCTCTGTTGGAAAGCTCTCGTATCAGCTCTGTTGGAAAGCTCTCGTACGAAAGGCTCTACACGGGACGCTTACCAAGATTTCTATGAGAGGCTGGAGTTCCATATCCGCGATAAGAACATCGTACCCGCGAATATCGCCAACCTTGACGAGCATGGCATGCAGGAGCTCGAAACTACGGCCGGCACAGTCATTGGCAGTTCCCTCACAAACAGGGCTTATACAACTAGCTCTGATACAACTACATGGGTTACTGTCCTACTAGAAGCATCATCGCTCGGAATTGGGTGCAGTTCCATTATTTGCCCCACTTAACCAGCCCCTACGGTTCCTTTTTGCCATTGGCCGCACCCATGTAGAGTTCTGCCTCCCGGACCCACTGAGCCCCACCGAACAGGCCTTCCACGTGCGCGCTTCTCCCAAACAGGCATCTCTTGGCGCCTGGGGTGGTAGAGTTCCGTCCAGGGTATTGGAGCTTTCCCAGGGGTAGAGTTCCGCCCTGCCATTGGCCGAGCCCAAGAGATGCCCGGGGGGTAGGGTTCGATTGCCCGGGGGTAGGGTTCGATTGCCCGGGGGTAGGGTTCGATTGCCCGGGGGTAGGGTTCCGGGGGTACGGTTCCAGGGGGGTTGAGGGAGATGCGAAGCGCGTTCTCGCGACTCCATTTTTAAAAAGGCGAAAGAGGTTCGGACGGACAGCAGATAAGAGCGACGGCCCCCAGGAGAGACCACCACAGTTATCCGCGATGGAGCCCTTCGTCCACCTGCCACAGCACCGAGTCGTAATCTGCAAGCGCTGCCG